ATAAAGGCTGAGAATCATCAAGAACCCACCTGTAACAATACCTGAAATTGGGCCCTTGACTTTGAAGACAGGATTTTGGAATCTTCAAACATCAATAACTTTTGCAGTTCGGAATCAAATCACTCGATTTGAAGTGCATTAAAAAGGTGAGCCTTTCCTCTACATTTTTCATTGAGACATCACATCTGTAGCTGGTCTAAAAAAGATCCTACAGAGCAATTCATGCAGAACTGTTTGAACATATGTAGAGTGTTTAAATGACTAGATGGCACCTTACTAACATTATGAAGTGTGAAGGAGAATAGTTCAGCTTTTGAATGAACCAAAAATCGAGTTATTTGGAGCAGAATTGCAAAAGTTATTGAAGTTTTTAGACCACAAAATATTGTCTTCATACTCATGACCCAAATTTCAGGTATTGTTACATGTGAGTTTTTGATGATTTTCAGCGTTTATTGTTAGTACATAAACCAATATCTGCGTGTAAAATACAAAAAAATACTCATCATGACGCCCCAACATCTAGGAACAAGGTGCATATTTTTTCAGATTTTTAGCTCTCTTCCTGTTGCCTCAGGACTTTTCTATGTCAGTAGTTTTCTTTACCGCCCGGTAAAGATTACATTTGGTGTAGTGTAAGGGGCAAGAGATTAGTCCCGATATCTCTAAGGAACCAGAACCAATAGGAGCGCGAGAACAACATCATGAGTAATGGAAACAAAGGCTTAAGGTTAAGTATTAAATATTAGGTATTTGTATTGGGTGATGTGTAATGACCGTAGGTCTTACAATAGGGCTCAGAAGACTGTGTGGTTTGTGAAATAATTTGTCTTCCAGTATATGTCCCGTTGGATGAGTTCTTGGCACTGTTAATCCTTTGTAAGCAAAATTGTGATTGTCCCACTTAGCTAGATCCTTGAATGACACCATGTTAACATCATGAGTTATATGATTGTCTGGAGAACTTTTGAATGCTCCTAAAGATATTCTGTTAGCCACTTTTTGTAGGAGATTAGAGATTTTTGTTACTTTGCTTTCCGTACGGGTGTTCAACCAAACAACACATCCAAATAAGATCCTTGGTTTCAGGATGGCCATGATCAGCTTCTTTGTCTCTTTTGGGTTTGTACCCCAGTAACATTTGTGTAGCCAACATTCAATGAAATTTGGCAAGGAAGTACACTCAGGTGGGGTAACCATCTTCTGGTCCATTGTCAGGGACAAAGGTGTTTAGTTCAAAGTGACTTGTAGTATCCACATTTTCCATAGCAAATTATGATTAGAATGAAGGCAATGAATGACAAGACATGCAAGGTATGACTCACATGTGTTGTCACACATTTTATCAGCACCACAGTGGGAGAAATGGCAAAGGATGTTGCAAATGTTGAGTCGGAAAAAGATGCATAGAGTTTGGAACCAATGAGCAAAGCTCTTAAAAGTATCCTGTATTTGAAGGGAAATAAGTGATCTCAGAACAACACATCTCTTAGACAGCAGAAAAGGTACTAAAGATACAAACTACTCCTTCTTCAACCCCAAATCTAGCAGCAGCACAAAAGTTACCACATTCCATGATACCAGAAGGAATAAAGATTTATGACAAGATTGATGAATGGCCTTGAGACCAGTTGAACCTTTGAGATTGAAGTCAATGTGTCTCACTTTGGATTTAATGTCCTCTTTTGACATCATGTCTAAGACCATGTTGACGGCTTTACCAAATTGGACACCACGGGCATCCTTTTCCCTAGTACCACCAGTATATAGCTATGGCAAGGCAGGTGGGGTAAATGACTCAAAGATCTTAGTCATGTTATCACTGTCAGGGTGGCTATGAACTATACGCACAAAAGGGTCTAGTCAATCAGTTTGTGCTAAGCCCTGACTGTGTATTCCGCTGGATACGGGGAATCCAGGTGACTATTTGTTTAAAACGTAAGGATTAAGAACCACTGGTATCAGTGACTGATATAATGAGATTCCCTTTACAGGAAACGAACAACAATAGGCCCACTGTAGGTTTACAGACGGTAGCAGGTCAAGCCTGAGCCTAGGGTTTCAATCTCAGAAACTCACAAGTTTAAGAGTAGCCTGAGACACAAAATCTGCAGGGATCTTGCCAACAAGAGTTGTTGCAAGACCTGGGTCTTTGACCAGAAGAAAATAATGAAAACTACTAACCGGCAATTTCAGTAGTGGACTCGTAGAATGAGGGTGAGAGGTATCTAGCTGGTTTTTTTAGCTAGAAAGATTTGACACTGATTTCAAGGACGGTCTTCAAAAGGGGGCTGGCAAGTCTATTCTATGAGAATGATCTTGGGAGCTGGCTGTCGAAGAACAAAGATGAATAACTCAATACTAGATGAGAATCTGGTAGGCTATTTTTGGTGTGGTTAAAATCAGGTGAGGTCCCTTCTTGTTCTTGTTGACCTGTGGTTAGGAGATACTGATTCTTGAGCGCAGTCTTCTCTGTGGTCAAGGGTTGTAGGGATTCAATTATATGTCCCAATCTGGAAAGGGAGTAGTTGATTTCTATAGTTGTTATTCTAAGGCTTGGTAGTGTCTCTTCACTACCTGTTGAATTGATTCTTCTTACGTGTCTTTTGAGGGGACTATTGTTGGGGTGGTTATTCAGTCTTCTAGATGTTATTCAAACAGCTGGAAGACTATTAGTGTACTTGGTATTATTTGTGCCTTGGCCTGCCTTATTGGCTTTTGAGGTACATTGGATTATTTTTTGGGTATTCAAGACTGGTCCTTATAGGTTGTACTTATTAATCAGATGTCCATAGGACCTTCTATTGGGGTCTTTAAAACTAGACCTTACAAGTTGTTATTTGTTATTATTACTATTTTTATGAAATTTATTTATTTATATTTTGTAGACTTTTTGGTTCTTCTCCTGGAAGAGCTCAAGGTCTGACAATCACCTTATTCACAATCCTTGAGGTCTTCAAATGTAGAAGCAGATGAGTGATTTGTAATCAAGACATGTGCCATGAACAAACAAGCCAAACCTACATTTGATGGATTTATTGTCAGGTATGGTATCATGACCATGCAAAGCACCTTGAAGGCCTTCAATACCAGGGCACATCACATGCTTGACAATCAATGCAGCTGGTCCATCATGTTGAATAACTTAACAAAGTCCACCCCAAAGGCAGTCCAAGTTTTAACCCTCACCTCAACAGATCTTTAAGGCATGTGCTTCCAGTGTCTTTCCAAATTTGTAACCCTTGAGATAGTCACTTGGGTGTCAGCAATTGTGACGATGTTATTGTCAATCAACAATTTGATGTTGAGTTTTTGAGCTACAGCGCATCTGGCTGCTTCAATTTCATTGCCCTCTTGTTGTAAACCATCTGAACAAAAATATGATACTGTGTCAGTTGGTGAGTGTGATACTGTTGAGAAGAGGCCTTGAAAGTCCAAATCAAATGAGAAATAGAATGAGTACACTATGAATTTGAAGAGTGGTGTTGGCAAGTATGAATTCACTTACATATTGTTACAGGTCAAGGTCTCCAGGGTCCAAGTCCCTGTGTTTCAGCATGGGGAAGGCAACATCCTCACCAATCCCATGATGCTATTTCTCTATTGTATTAAATTATCAAAACCTCTCAACTCCATTGAAGCACACATCTACTTACAGCATTTCAATCATCTCCCTGACGGCTCGGAAAACCTTCCTCTACCTGAGTATGGACACCTTTATATTGGCTTGTTCACAATGCTTCTCCAATGAAAGTAGTTGATCCTCAATTTCTTGAGATTGAAGCTCACGAGTAGAACGTCTCAGATATAGATAAGGAACCAGAGTCAGTGTCCTGACCTGTGGCCAAGCAGCTTCACAAATAATCCTATTCAGTGACCGGCAATGTTCTGGTGTTATGTAGGTCCACTTGAAACAGCTTATAGAGATGCAGTCCTGAAAGCTATCCAGCAATTTAGTGTTCCAAGTAAAGAGCTCCAAGTCAGTCAGAAGTGGAAGAGAGAAACTAGTTTGGGGATTCCAGGTCGGATCGAGCTCCTGGGGGTGTGTACCTCGCTGATGGGCGAAGGTAAGCTCAAGCTTATGCAGAAAAGGTGCGATGTGGTGGATGATTCGATGAGCTGAACTTGGTGATAAATTACCACATTCACCAATTGCAAGATCAGTGATGGTCCTTGGCCAGTCGTAAAGACACCACTCTTCATCTATATCATCAAATCCCAATAGATGCAATCTTGATAAAAATTTGAGTTTGGATAAGTTAAATCCAAAAGAATCATCACCGGATTTTCGTTGATCTCTGGGTGATGTAAAGCCTTCACATGTAAGCGATTCAAGCAAAGGTAGATTGGCGACAAGTCTAGATGGGAATTCAATCATGGTTGTCTCATTATCTCTTTCCCCCACCTTGAAATGCCGAAGATACTTGAGGCTCGACAGTAGTGGGATCAGGTCTAACAGAAAAGCTTCTGTTCCCGCGTCTTCGGATTGTTCAAAATATTCGTAGTCCATAACCAGCGTGGAGATGTTGGGACACTGGTCTATCAAGTCTCTTACATTCTTTGGAGAGATGCATGCTACCCGATTATCATGATGTAAGCCAGGGATAACGTTATCGTACGAAGAATCATGGTAGACAAATTCGCCAGGAGGTCGACTGCAGTTTTCTGAGAGTCCGAGTGATAGAGATCGGGTATGGGGGCCTTGTCTGATCAAAATATCTTCGGTCCATAGTTCTATTGGTGCTGGTAGAGACGTAGGAAACTGTAGTTTCTGTCAATTAGAATGGTTCATAACCATTGGTCATGATTAAATAGGTTTCCTTCATTCATGAGTTGATATCAAGAAAACTCACTCGCCATAGCCATGGTTGACAACGTTGATATATTTCACGGGAAGTAAGTGAAAGGGTTTGAATGCTATTCAAGATTGGCGAGTTTCGGTGCAAGTAGGTCAAGTATGGCGTCCGTTCACCTGGACCTGTGATTGCCACAATATGCTCCTTCTTTTTTTCGTAAACTTCCTTGGCTTCGAGCCTAGCTATGCAATCAAGTTTTTCGAGTATTTTGTCAAATAGCTCAATGGGTAGATCCACAAGGCTTAGAGGACGAGATTTATGTCGCCATTCTTCGATTTGAATAGCATCTGTCACCTCTTCAGATGATAGTTCGATTCCTGGAAGAACACGAGATTCCAGTATCATGTTGACCCTCGAGAAAGGAGCATGTGGGCTGTCTGGTAGACCAAGTTGAAGGAAGATTCCAAGGATTGACTCCTTAGACCAAACAAATCCTTCCGAGTCAAGTTCATCAAATCGCTGTTGGATAAACTCAAGATGTCGGTTTACTGGCTGAGCCTCCACGTGTCGTCTCCAGACAATCTCGCGCCAAAGCCCAAGCTGAGCTGAGCGACTAGATGTTGGCATCTTGTTTTGAATTCTTGAGGGGCCGTTTGTATGAGGTTGTATGTATGTATCGTCAAGAAATCCAACGCAAAAGAGAGCCAATCCTGTCGCAAGTTTTATATCGAGAATGGTTTGAGGCTCCAGCTCTGCTGAGCTGAACTTTTGTATGTCGAGTTTCAATCCACTTTCACTCTAGAATCTCTCAATCAGATTAAATACAATTGCAAAGTCAAAATGTCACACACCTAACATCCGCACCACCACCACTTTCAGCTTGGAGCTAGAAATTAACTCGTCAATTGAGGTCAATTAGGACCCCGGAATGCCCTTATAAAGGGTAGTGAAATAAAAAGTTCCTTTTTGACTTCCGCGGATCCCCACCCCTGCCAAAACGCCAAGTCCATTCCTGGCTTCACCCATAGTTCTAACAGGGTATGCACAGACAAGCAGTGGTCAAAGGCTGGCATCGATGGCAAAAACCAGCAATAAAACAAGGCAGAAATCGGCAAACTTAACTAAGTCCCTCGCCAACGGCCCGAGGCTCGAGCGAGGGACTTACCTCAAATACGAGAAATTTGGCTTGAGAAGTGAGCTGTATTGAGCTCAAAACCGCTACATTGCGTTCTTGGTTTTGTGGCTATATAAACAACACTCCATGAAAAAGAAAAGGTTGTTCGCAAGAGTCCATTACACGTGCTAGTGTTTCAAGCTCTCCGATATGTTTTTGGGAACTTGCACTTTTGGGTGGTCCAAGATTGGAGTTTTTCGCCGGTTTCTGAGAAATACAGGCTTCAAACCCGCTCACTGCTCAGGAAGCGGTGAAAAAGTCCAATAACAAATCACTGAGCCAGCGTAACTTCCAGTCCACAAATGGAACTTCGGGAAGTTGGAGCTTATGTAACGGCTTGTGGCCATTGTTTTATTTCTTTGCACAAAAAGGACTTCAATGAGCCAGAAAAAAGTTGTCAAGATGTAGAGGATTTTTGCTGAATACAGCCTACTTCTCACGCGAGAATCTGGGTTTTTGAGGTAAGTCCCTCGCTTGAGCCTCGGGCCGTTGGCGAGGGACTTAGTTAAGTTTGAGAAATTGGCAGAATCAAAGCGAGCTGTCTATAATCCACTTTTTATCTCTGTAATTCCAACTAGAGTGTACACGTTCGAGATGAAATTAGGATATCTAAAGTCTGATTTCTTAATTTCAACTCTAGGTATCCCCGGCTATTATGCCCTAGGATACCAGTGTTCGGGTTTTGCTTAGAAACCCCGAAAATATCAAATTCATCGAGTTAAAGAATTTTACGATTTTTGAGTGAGTCAATTTATCTACAAGTTCTTCTGTCAAGTTATCAAAGTGGTTCTGATAACTTGAAGAATGAAAGGATTTAATGATCGCTGGATCTATTCATACCAGCCGTAAAGAGCTGATGGTTATAGTACAGCAAATATTTCCAGTACTCTCGAGTACGTGAAGATAATCCTTATTAAACTCGTAGGACATTGGCTCGTGGGTCTAAGAACACACTAGAGGGAGGACCAAAATTAAATGATTCGTGACTTGAATCAAGAATTCTGGTTGAGGTTTATTATACCATTTCGCCCTCAACTTAGTGATTCTTCGATATTTTTGGAATCTCGAATTTACTTTGCAAGGGTGGGAGGGATGGCATTTGAAAAATAATTTGGAATAAAACAATAAGATTAATCAAAAAGTTATAAGAGTCAATAAAGCTATTGTTTATAACGATGTTTTGATAATCTTGGTATAAAAAGGTTTGGATGACAGATGTGAGAATGTAAGCGGATGAGAGAAAGAAAAGCGCTTTTCTCTCAACTGCTCCTCATTATATAATCAACCTGATTTTAGAGGACGTGGCACTGGATATATAACTAGTGATTCAAGGTCTATCTGGACCAGACCCTTTTGCTTATGCGTCTGGATTGAAATCAAAACTACATTTCAATAGGATTGAACCAGTCCTCTTTTGGTGGATTATAATTTGAGGCACATGCACATACTGCATTACCCGTAATCGTGGACACCGCCCACCTACGTCGTGCCTCCTCCGGAAAACTATCTCCACTTTTTATCTCTGTAATTCCAACTAGAGTGTACACGTTCGAGATGAAATTAGGATATCTAAAGTCTGATTTCTTAATTTCAACTCTAGGTATCCCCGGCTATTATGCCCTAGGATACCAGTGTTCGGGTTTTGCTTAGAAACCCCGAAAATATCAAATTCATCGAGTTAAAGAATTTTACGATTTTTGAGTGAGTCAATTTATCTACAAGTTCTTCTGTCAAGTTATCAAAGTGGTTCTGATAACTTGAAGAATGAAAGGATTTAATGATCGCTGGATCTATTCATACCAGCCGTAAAGAGCTGATGGTTATAGTACAGCAAATATTTCCAGTACTCTCGAGTACGTGAAGATAATCCTTATTAAACTCGTAGGACATTGGCTCGTGGGTCTAAGAACACACTAGAGGGAGGACCAAAATTAAATGATTCGTGACTTGAATCAAGAATTCTGGTTGAGGTTTATTATACCTCTACTCGGTGCTGAAAGCCTGAGCCTTTGAATTGAAACCCCAATTCTTTCAGACCCAATAGTGTCCTTGCAAATAATTCTACCCGTACGAATTATAAACTTCCTCAATGTAATCTATTTTCGTTTAATTCTAACAGAATATCATGTGTACTCATTATTTCTTGTGCTGAGTAAGGTTTTATGTAAAGTTTCCAAGCTTCTGATTTCCATCTTCCAATCTTACATATGTCGGTAATTGGGACTCCTAACACAAACCTTAGCGAAGCTCCGCCAACTCTAAAAGAGTGTCCTGTCAGGCCTTTGAAATCACCTTCTTGCCATATCTTTTGGCATATGGAAATTACTGTCTGTTTTGATAGTGATATTCTTGTTGTACCGTTTAAATAACTAAATAGAGGATCGTCGTCGTTAGAGACTTTTGCTAGCCGTCTTTTGATTGCCGCCAGAGGGCATAACATGTTATTTAGTTGTTTAAATTGTAAGAATTGAATTTCACCTGGTTTTGCGGTTTTAGCTCCTCTAAGTGAAATAAATCCTTCCTCTTCTGAATCTTCCCCCATAATTCTTACATCAGATTTACGTATTATTTCATCAGAATCATGCTTGTCTCCTGTCATTTCACCTAGCCTAGCTAAACCCCAGAATGAGCACAGGATCGTATCTAATATAGCGAGTTCTTTTTCTCCTCCATGGACTAATTTTGAAACTAGAAATATCAAATGATTTAAATGAATCGCTTTCTTTCCATCTCCTTTTGGGATCGTTGCATCTATCTTCTTAGACACTATTAACATCAATTTGATAGTTGCATCATTTACTTTAGGAAAATCTTCTCTGTGGTATAGATGCCATGCTTTGAGTCCATATAAGTATTTCTCTAATGTTTGTGATAGGATATCTTCTTTTGATGGGCCTTTCTTAGTTCTCCCTGCCCATACACAGAAATCGTAAATTTCGTCCGCTGTAGCTGGTAAATCGAAATTTCTTTGCGCCTTTTTGTTCGTACATCTTAAGAATTTCTTCACTGCGCCATTGTAGCTAACAATGGTATTCCATTTCCATCCGTCTAGGATGTGTTGTTGGAGATCGTTGTAATGTATTTTGTCGTCTCCTCGACTCAGGAACTGTGAGATGGTTTTTAAATGTTCTTGTGATAAAGACATTATTTATTGATGAATTGATTATATTGATATGATTGCTTAAACGAATTTTCTGGGAGTTCAAGGTTATTTTCTGTTTCTCAAAACATTTTTCTCTTCCATCAAAAGGATTTTTACAGACAAAGGAGCGAATTTTCATTTCTCATAGGGTACATATTTATACAGATTTATATAACATTTGTTTCATCACACGTATGTAGAAATATATGAAACAGGGTACATGGTTAATAACGAGATTCGAGATTTTTTTTTTTTTTTTGTTTCTCAGTCGCAAACAAGCCCTGGAAATTGTCTGCTCAAGGCCTCACAATTTTCACCTTTGACTTCATTTTGCGTAAAACAACTTACAAGATCTCTTGGTAGTGAGACCCATACTCTGTTCGCCTCGTCTTTTACGTGATCTTTTCCTTCACCTCTCGATATATCGTCTGCATCATTCTTCTTAGAGATTACTCTCTTCGCTATCAAGTCCATATGACATGAAATTGAAAGTTGTTGTATCTTTCGCCACTCTCTGTTTACTTCTAGGTCGTTTGATCTCCTATTTGTAATCGCATTCTGACTTGTTGTATTGTCAGTCCATACAATCAGTGACTTCCCTTCATAATTGCCGTGGGAAATGATATGCCATAAGCCGATTCTGATTGCTACCGTTTCTAGCCATGCAATACCCCTTTTGGTTCTTCCTGATTCTTCCCACCCTGCCTTGAGTTTCACTTGAAACCATTTCTTTCCAATCAACACTCCTACTCCGTAACTTGGTGATGCATCTCCTACCCACCCTATATCTAAAGGGTCTGAGAATCTTATCAAACGTGTGTGTTCAAAATCTGAGAGCATTAATCTCCAGTGTAGTAAATCCATCTTGACATCTTGGGGGAGATTTTGAGTTGCGTGCTTGTAAAACCAACTCTTCTTCCATCGGTATAGCGAAGTCATGTAACATTTAAGTTGGGGAAGCATCAACGTTACGTGAACGAGTCGTCCTGTAAGTACCTCGACTTCGTTGAACGTGAATTTCTTGTTGGGTTTAAGTGCATCGTCAATTTGTGCTTTTCTTTGGTCTAACTTTTCTTCAGGTAATCGGACTGTTTTTGATACCCCATTCCAAATAAAGCCTATGAATTTTTGTTCTTCTTTAAAATTCTGCATTTTCTCTTTGTTTGTTATCACACCTAGTTCTAAACTCCTGTCTACGACATCCTTCATAATGAGATTTGAATCTAAAGTTTTTATAAAAAGTGCGTCATCTACCCATCTGAATATTTCTACTACGTCGAATTCATGTTTCATGATACGTTTCCAGGCGTCTGCTGGTCTTCCGAATGACCCACAACCTGCTACTCCGCCGAAACCAATTCTCGTATCCCACCAAATATTTCCATCTGCGTCTTGAATCATCATGTATGGCTGTTGTTCTAACATGGTTGGGATCTGGCGATAAGCCTTTTCCCAGTTGAAAAGCGCTAATAAGAGGGGTTGGTTCGATGTGCGGAAGAAACTTGAGACTTTAGCGAAGTCGTCCCAGGTTGTCTTAAAATCATCCGCGTTGACAAATGAATTGACGGATGGAATGTCTGGATCGTTTCGAGGGTACGATAAATCATTTAATGGCCTAACTGATCCATCGCCATTGACCACTGCTCCCATGGGGTTTGTCCTAAAGAAACCTACTTTCTTATGGACTTCTTCATGCGTGAAAGGACCGAAGATTCTGCCTGCAAGTTTCTCTTTCTCCATGTTTGATTTTATCTTCTCTTTCGCCAATTCAGAGGATGAATGGTTAGATGGTGTATACCATTTGCAGTCGATAAGGAAGTGATGGGGGATCCCTTGGTCGAATCCAATCTTGAAACCGGTCAAGATGTCCTTGTATTCATCGAATAAACCTGCTGACCTCAAGGCTTTTTCCCACTCAGTGATGTTCATCTCGCAGGATATTTCACCTGGCCATACTAGATTTGGGTTTTCCATCAGAGTGTCGCCATCCTCATCTTCTCCTAATGAAGTTTGCAGACTAGGTGAAGTAGAAGAAAAATCGAGTTCGGATCCTGAAGTTTCACTTGTGGAGCTTATCTCATTGGAACTATTTCAATAAACGAGTGTGTATTTCAAGTATAACATCAAACGAGAAAAAGGAAAGAAACAATTTTACATGAGTATTGTAATAATTACATATTGAAATAAAGCCTTATTCCGTGAAACATGACAAGAAGGACGGTAGTCGCAATTTTTAACAATTGTGGCTTAGAATAGATTATTAGAAAAGAAAAAGAAGGGTTTCTCATGAGAAAGGTGGCCTACGTTTCTTTTTCTTTCCCCTTACCCTTATTGTCTGTGGAGGGTTTTTGATGATTGGGGTTGAAGTTTTTACCCTTGTAATTACCATACGGTCCATTGTTCTTTACTTGAGTTTTATCTTTCCTCTCGATATAGTGTCGCGTAGGGCCAGTCACTGGTCTTGTGAATGTGAGAGTGGTAGGGGGGTCGGTCAATATGTCTGAGTAAGGATTTCTACCATTCTTCGGACCACCTTTTCGGTATGGGTTGTCGTCTGTGTTGAGGTCTTCCTGAGCTCTCGCGTTGTAGAAGATCTCGTTTACCAGTCCTACTGGTTCAAGTGACGGATTTGGAACGTGTTTGTCTGGGTTCCTAACAGCAAAGACGGCTTTCCAAATTGTTAGATCGTATTTGAAGGCTATCACCCAAGACCTCTGTTCTCTGAAGATTCTGTAAACATTTTTGCGATGGACCTCCATAGCGTCAGCGAAGCCGGGGAAATTGTAATCGTCTCTGAGTGTTGCAATGAAGTTTTCCATGTTTTCGCCCCACTCAAATCGTGATTGAGTCCATTCACCAGGAAAAGGATGACCGCGATATTTTTCTACCTCTTTATCCGACTTTCTGTAATCGACATGGTTGTCGCTAGCCGTTTGTTGCCATCCTCAATTGAAAATGGTTAGAGGCAGTTGTCCTTGGAGAGCTTGCATGTTCTTATGGAAGAACAACGGTAAAGATTGAGCTCTAGCGTCTGGAGCAATGCTGAAGTCGAAATTGAGGCCTCCTTCTGAAAAGGTTGATTCTGGCAGTTTGAAATCTTTAGTAAAGCTGTGTGGTTTGCTGATTAGGGGAGTTGGTGTATCTTCTCTAGTTGTTAAGTCGATGACATCTTTCATCCCAGATGAAGATTGTCTGTTGTTTTGCATTTGATTCCACAAGTGAACTGCTCGAGCGAAGGATGTATCGTCCATGGATGAATCCGAGTCTTGTAAATTGACTTCGTTCGCTGGAGTGTTTTTGTGGATTTTCGGTAACTTTTGCGATGTTCCAAATAAGCTACAGAACTCCTGTCTCATCATACGCTGCGCATCGTCCATGTCTTTAGGTTTGTTTCGATTTTCTTCAACGTTTGTTTGGGGTGTGTTTTTATCTGGAAAACATTTGGACGATTATTGTGATTAACATGAGTTCATAGATTGGAATCGTTTATCGCCCATAAAGTCTTTGAGGACGTACCTTTCCTAGCTGGTACTTGTTTGTACGCCGCACTGACGTCTACCACTGTTAGTTCTTTTTGCTTCGATTTGTCAACGCTCTCTTCAGACATAATTCAGAAATATTGTTTCAGTATCTCTGATTACACCATTATTTTAGGTGGATGGATTGCTTACGAGTGGACTCGCTGTTTGTTTTGTCGTTTGAACTAATGCTTGTGGTTTTTGGAGAACCTGGTGCTGTTTCTATTAAAAAGAGTTTTTCGTTAGCTTTTTGTTTTCTTAATAATTTATCTGACAAGAATATATTAAGTTTATTTTAGATGGGCAAAACGTCGCTCACCCTTACCTCTGTTGAGGTAGTTCGATATTAACATTTGCCGATTATATCTTCCAAAGGCATTAGGATGATTTTCCGCTGGTATCACACGGGTATCCGCTTCTACTGGTACGGCCGGGCCGGTTTCCCCTTCAGTGGCCGTCAAACTACTTATAGTTTGTTGAGTCAAGTTGCTCGTGACAGGTTGTGTCGTGTTTTGTTGCAGTCCGGTTGTTGGTGTTATGTTGCTTAAAGCGGCGGTTGCATCTGAAATCGTGTTTGACATTTTTGGTTTTATTCCGTGTTGCTCTTGCTTAGCGAAGATAATAGAGATAACGAAGAATTAGATATAGATGAGGGATGAATAAGGTATCTCGCTAAAAGTTTGAAAAAATTTGAAAAATAATTTGGAATAAAACAATAAGATTAATCAAAAAGTTATAAGAGTCAATAAAGCTATTGTTTATAACGATGTTTTGATAATCTTGGTATAAAAAGGTTTGGATGACAGATGTGAGAATGTAAGCGGATGAGAGAAAGAAAAGCGCTTTTCTCTCAACTGCTCCTCATTATATAATCAACCTGATTTTAGAGGACGTGGCACTGGATATATAACTAGTGATTCAAGGTCTATCTGGACCAGACCCTTTTGCTTATGCGTCTGGATTGAAATCAAAACTACATTTCAATAGGATTGAACCAGTCCTCTTTTGGTGGATTATAATTTGAGGCACATGCACATACTGCATTACCCGTAATCGTGGACACCGCCCACCTACGTCGTGCCTCCTCCGGAAAACTATCATCCCATGAATTTTAACACCGCGGAAGTCAAAAAGGAACTAATTATTTCACTACCCTTCATAGGGGCATTCCGGGGTCCTGGTCAATTGTCCATCACTCTCATCCTCAAGTATGATCTGTCTACAAATATTGTGAACTCTTAATGCTTTGAGTCTCTGTGACATTGTTTGCCTACAAACAAACATATCTGATGGACTAAACATAAAGCTGGGATGAAAGCTAAAGGATCAATTTTATAGGGTTCTCCAACTTTCAAGGTCTCATGAATCACAGATTTGAAAACACGGACTTTAGAGTAGCAAAGATTGTGAAATAATTGAACAAAGACATACTGAAACAAGATGACAAGGTGTTCATTACCGCAAGCTTAACTGTACACAAGAAAGTATAGGTACCAACAAAGGAAGTTCAGGTTCAATCCTGGAAAAATATGATATATTACTGATCACACAAGGTGGAATTCTCTAACTTAATTAATCAGATCCCCTCCAGGGCACGGGTGAATCAAGGCATTCGACCAGGTATAAGGCAATATTTTTACCTTTATATTGGTTTGATCACAATCCTTTTTCAATGAAACTATTTGATCCTGGAGCGCTTGAGTTTGAGGATCTAGAGTGGGTACTTTTATCCTCTTGTAGACCTCTACCTCCAGGTTCTTGAGCTGAGGCCAAGTGGCTTTGACCAGCATCCTGTTCAGTGTCGTGCAATGTTTTGATGTCATGTAGGTCCATTTAAGACAGCCTAGAGATTTACAGTCTTCAAAGCTGTCCAGTAAGAACGTGTTCCGGGTCAAAAGCTCCAAGTAAGTTAAAGATGGGAGATAAAAATGATTTCGGTAATTCCAGCTAGAATCCATTTGCCAGTTGTGGTCACCTTTCCATTTGGAAAAGTCGAGTTTGAGTTTTGTCAGGTAAGGTGCAATATGCTGGATGATCTGATGTGCTGAACTTGGTAATAAGTCGCCACATTTGCAAATTGTAAGCTCAGTGATCATCCTTGGCCAATTGTAAAGACACCAGTTTCCATCTATGTCATCAATTCCGATTAAATGCAATTGTGATAGAAATCTTAGCTTAACAAAGCCCTCTCTGCTTGTTGTTTGAAACTTAGCTTATCATCAATCTTGACTCCGAGCCATTTGGAAAAAGATGAGGGCACAATAAGCTTTCTGTCTTCAAAGTCAATTGTGGGGATGATTTCAGGAGCTTGAAGGCTGAAGAGAACCCAAAAAGTCTTCTTCATGTCAAATATGGCGCCATGGTTGCGAGCCCATTGCTGCTGTTTGTATGAGAGTGTCCGCATTTGGAAACTGAGCTGATGTGTATTGTTGGCTGAGGACAATAGCACCACATCATATATGAAGCCTAGGGCTGAAGCTGTGGTGATGTTGTTAGTTATCTCTAAAAGGGATGAGTTGTATAAGAGGTAGAGCAGAGGCAACAACGGCGAGCCTTGTGGCAGGCCGTGGTCGAGTGAGAAAGGTTCTGATTCAAACCCATTGAAGGTGAGGCTCTAGGGTTGTTGTCCTTGTTGTAAGGAAATTGTATATGAAATTGAGTGTCTGGGTATCCAGTTTGCATTGGTATTCATGTTTGAATTGTGTGCCAATCAAAACTTGTATATTTGCCGATTGACAAAGTTCAAACTGAATTATAGACACAAAGCATCTTGGTTATCAAACTTTTCAGCTTAACAAGGGCTTTGTCAAGCTAATCAAACTTCCATTAGGATCTGTCTTTGCAAAACAATTTCAAGTCCAATCAAAGCTTCTCAACTTGTTTCTCTACGTTGAGCGTCCTTGATATACAATTGGATAGCCCCTCAAGAGCATATATCAAGATGCTAGCCTCGAGTCGCGCAGCTCAGCTGAGGCTTTGGCGCAAGATTGCCTTGAAACATCATGAGGAGACTCAGCCGGTAATTTGACATATTGACTTCATTCAACGGCGTTTCAAAGAGCTTGACTCGGACGGTTTTATCTGGTCAAAGGACTCGATTCTTGCCATCTTTCTTCAGCTTGGTCTATCAGAAAGTGCCAATGGCCCTTTCTCATTGGTCAACAAGCTCCTTGAATCTTGCGTTCCTCAAGGATTTGTAGTTCCATCTGATGAAGTTATAGAGGTGATTCAAGATGAAGAATCCCGACATAAGTCTCATCCTGTGGGACTTATGGATCTACCCCTTGAGGTTTTTGACAAGATAATTGAACAGCTTGATTGCATGGCTACTGTTCAAGGATGGGATATTGCAGATGAGAAGCGTGAAAATAGGATGTTGATGTCCGGTCCAGGGGATCGGGAACCATACTTCACTTACTTTTACAATCATCCACCAATTTTGAATAGTTTTCAAACCTTTGCTCTTACTTCTTGTGAAATATATGAATGTTGTTGACCGTGGTTGTGGCAAGTGAGTCATCTTCATACCAACTCGCTATTGAAGGAACTCATGCTAATCACAATCAATCACTCATCTTTACTATCAGAAACTAGAGTTTCCCACTGTTCTTCCATCACCGATAGATTTATGGACCAAAGATATCCTCCTCAGGCAAGGCTCCCTTGTTCAGTCTCTAACAATTTCTCTCAATGTAAACCCCTGTAAACTTCTGGGTAGATTTGCAATCCTTAGGATAGATCCCTTCTACAACAATCTCACCATGGATATGGAAAATGAGTATTCAAGAGAGGGTATATCTCCAAAGAATGTAAGGCGCTTGATAAATTGGTGCCCCAACCTGTCCGTGCTGAAGATTGACTATGATTGTAGTGAAAAACTTGACAAGGGTGGAACAGAAGAGTTTCTATTAGACTTGATTCCACTATTGACAAGTCTCAAACAGCTTTGACATTTGGTTTTGGAGGACGTAAATCTTGAAATTATCATGAAGGGACTCCCATCAGAAGTTGTGGGCAGTCTACCTTTTCTCGAGACACTCACATGTCAGGTACTTACAGCCTCTGCAAATGAACAAAAGTTTGGGGACGGTTCTTTTGGGTTCAATCTATTGAAACTCAGATTTCTATTAGCTTAACAAGGCCCTCTCTGCACGGCCACATCCGCGCGCCTCACAGAGCGGCTTGGGACTAATTGTGAAATTCTGGCACAGAGACTCCAAGGATTAAGTCCTCTTATGTTGTTTTTTGCTTTTTCCCGTTTTCCTTGCTGATAAACACCAATTTTACTTGCAGGCAATTTTCTTCACATGATGTTGTACACACCCTGCTATGCTAATATCTTAGATATCCTGGGTGATGTGGCCGGGAAAATGGGATGAAAATCTTCACAACAATGCCGTTTTTTGGATTTTAAGTCGCTTTACGTTGTGAATACAGGCAAGGCTGCAACTATACTATACCGGTACAGGTATAGTGCGGTATAGTATTGTTTACACCATACTATACTATACTGGGTATAGTATAGTTGAACTATACTTTACCCAACTATACTCAGTATAATATCCTTACACCAACTATACCTGGAAAAGTGTTATATATGTTTTCCATCAACTTATTCAACTATACTGCACAGTACAGTTTGGCATATCTGAGTATAGTTCAAGTGCAGTATAGCTTGACTATACTATACCAAGTATAGTCAAGTATAGTATAGTATAGTTGTAGCCTTGATACAGGCTGTACAGTGCAGACCACCCCCTTACAGTGCAGACATATAGCTTGAAAAGGAACCTCAAGCGTTCACAAATGGAGGATTTTCTGGGTTGATCAGTGGTAGAACACATGTCCAACATATGTTATTCCAAAGAACTTTGCCTGCAAGGCAGTGTTGTTTATCAGTGAGGAACACCAGAAAAGTCAAAAAACAACTTAAGAGGAGTTAATCCTTGGAGTCTCTGTGCCAAGATTTCATGATTAGTCCCAAGCCCCTCTGTGAGGCATGTGGACGTGGCCAGACAGAGACACAGCCAACAAAGTTGCCTCGGATTGAAAAATCCAAGGTATCAACGGACTCAAATCCTCAGACAAAATCTTTCCAAGGTTTTGATCCGAGGTATTATTTTCCGTCAAACAATACCTCAGATCAAATCCTTGGACAAGACCTGTCCTAGGGTTTCCATCTGATGATGCCTCAAATTTTTCAATCCGAGGCATCTATGTTGGCGGTGAGAGGGCTTGTTCAAGCTAAAGGCTACTATGAGCAGCCATGGTACAGAACTTTGTGTTGTGATCAGTCTCAACCAAATCCATGGAACCTTGTTTAAACCTCTTCAAAGCATCATTAGCAACTCTGGCAGAGTTCACGTCACGGAAGTTGTTGACCATAGCAATTTGTCACTACGGATCAAATCTTAACAGCCCTCTTGTAGTATACTGAGAACAACCGTAGAGTGTCTTGATCTCATTTCCAGAACCCTGCGAGTTACAAATAGGATCCCGGTATAGACACCCCCCCTATTTTGGTCCCTGCACCCCCTTACAGGCCTCAGTAGTTATGATTAAGTCTTGGGCCTATGGCCGAGCCTGTCTTCACTCTTGAGCCTTTGTATCAAAATCTCCACATAGACTGTCTCATTATAAACCGTAATCCCTTCACCTTTTTCTTTACCAAGAGCCTTTCAATGAGTTTTAGAATACTCCTTCAATCCTGTCCATCCTGGGAAGAAGCTGAAAGTGACCTCTCTGCATGTGTCAAAAAGGCTGGACCAAAGGCCAATTCTCAGCAAACACCTCAAAAACTTTGCTTTCATCTTTGTACATGTATGACCTCCAGAATTTGACACATACAATGTAGAATGTGTAAAGTCATTGTTTCCCTTAATTTGTTTACGTGTAAAAAGCTCTGGTCTGTTTCCAAAAACAATTGATCAGATTGGAATTTGTTAACATATGCAATCATTTTGAGTCAATCAAAATATTCTTGTCAATTGATCCTACTTCCTCATCATGAAATTAAACCAAAATGTATGTAAACCTCCCTCTTTGGTTCCAATTTGGTGTGACCTTTCAAATCCCTATTGTTAAAGCTTTCTGGAAGATGATGGCGTGATTTTTGGTTGAAACTGGCATTGATATTTGTAACTCTCAAGCTCTGTTTCATAAACCTTTCTCAGGGAATGTTGAGATTCCCTTGATTTGATATGCTCAATTTTTTACATTTTTGTAAATAATGCAAGTTTTGTCAGTTTTATCTCAAAAGATAGGACTCTAAGGCTTTATCATAACTACTTAGGCCTCTAAGGGGGTGCAGGGACCAAAACAGAGAGGGTGTCTATACTGAGATCCTACAAATATGGTATGTAATTGGTTCATAAGCTTTGTACGTTTGTAAGCCACATCTTCATGATGAAGAATACATGTAAAGCTGATGTACTGGCAACATGAACAGAAGACACATATTCTTCTGGCAGTCTGATACACTACGGGTCAAACTTCAAAGGCTCTTTTGCACTCAGAACGTCCATAGTGACAAGCATCTCCATTTCATTTCTAGACATCTCCCAGTTACAGATATGGTATGTAATCAAAACATAAATTTTGCATTTTTCTACCAAAGATATCAGCATGATGAAGAATCCATGTAAAGCTGATGTACTGGGAATATAAACAGAAGACACATATTATTCTAGCAGTCCAAATATATCATCAGAACATAGATGTGCCCATCTATGTACCCAAGACATAGCACACATAAATTTTGTTTTCATAGAAGAGGACCTCACTTTAAGTGACCAGCTGGTGCCAAAGCCCTGTTACGAGCCAGGATTTGGTCAGTTATCAAGTCCTGATGTGTAGGCAAGCTCAGTTGAAAAAATTGAAGTCACAGAAGCCAGCAACTGACCTTCAGATCTAGAACTGCTTTTCAATCAACTCTGTGTTTTTTTCCTTTTTTCTTTGTAAGTCATTGGCCTTGTTATACAATGGTCTGTCCATCCTTTGAATGACTCATTTTATCAGTTTCATATCAGATTTTTTGTCAATCATTGACCTTGTTATCCATTGTTCTTTATCTTCTCTATGTCCATTGTTTGGATGACTCAGTTTATCAGTTTCATAACGCTTCAACCAAACACTTTAATCTCTGCCCTTCAATTGTTATGAAATCCATTCACATACAAGGCTCTATCTCCTATCTAAATCTCTCATTATATTCCCTTGATTTGAATTGGCTCAGAGCAATCGAAATCATAATTGTAATTGAACCCAATAAAAGTACGTCTCTATCACTTTCACATCAGTTTATTGCACATCAATCATTCATCTACTTTAATTTCACTTCCATATGATTGTGTTGTTTTTATCCCGTCATTGTCTCCCAAAAAGATCACAATCTCTTTCAATCTCTTTCAATTTCTCTGTTATTTGTACTTGCAACACAAATGAAACGTGTAAACTTGAAATTGTACTCGCAACACAAATGAAAAGTGTAAACTTGAAACCACTATATGCTTTACAGCCGTTCCAAGAAAGGTTGACAACTGTTTTTTGGAGAAAGTTGTCTCCGCAGCGGCTAAAACCAAAGACAAAACTTGATAACAGGTTTATTATTTCCTGTATTCTTCCAATTAGCGGAGAGACAAAATCAAGTGAGGGATAAAACCCGGGTTTTGCACATTGGCAAGATTTTCAAAAAAATCAATCTTTGTTGGAACAGCTGTACTTGAACTTCCTTGCCAAGTCCCCAATCCCTAAAAAGTGGATAATAAGAAAATCCCAACATGAGGCAATGAGTTTTTTGAAAAAATCTACCCTGATTGGGTTGAATTTGGTTGATTTTTTTCCAATCTGCCTTTCCTGCCTGTAATCTACACAGCTTTGCAAGCTAGTGAGTCCTCTAATACATTTTATCTTGCTGGGATCCTATTTACTATGTTTGTTTTCAGAACCTAAGACCAAGATTCATGAGATAAACTGTGAAATTATGTATTTATCACAACACTTTTGGACTGTTGTGTAAGACAACCTTGCATGGAAGCAAGTTTGGGAATTACATACACAGAACTTTTCAAATTGGCATATTCACTCCACTGTCCCAAAGTGTGAGCATTACACTGGGGGGAAATATCTGTCACATTTTGATATGTGATCCATAAGCTAATCTGTGTCACGCTGTACATACACCCAACACAAGTGACATACTTTCACATGCCTTGAAAATGACTTTAATTCACTCTTGACCCACTTTTGTACAGCCTCCTTGGTAGTTTTTGCCTGGTGGGATTTTAATAGGGCTGTGAACCGGACCCAACCCTGACCGGCCAAATCTGCCCAAGGGTATCCTTGATGTTCACAGTACGTGCTAGGGCTGTGACCCAGACCTGACTCTGACCAGCCATGTAAGCTTTGTGAGAACCTTCACTCAATCCTATGGACAGGACACTGTGTGAGCACAGTAAGGGATTTTCTAGAACCCAAGGGATCTGATTGGCAATTGCAATATCAACGGAAAATCTGGTTCCAAAGGATCAGGGGCAGGAGATTAGTCCCAATATCTCTAAGGAACCAGAACAGAAAGAGATTGAGAACAACTTTTATAAGTAATGAAAAAAGGCCTAAGGCTAGGTGTTAAATATTAAGTATTGGTCTTGGGTGATGTGTAATGACCGTAGGTCTTACAGTTTCCCCACCTATAAAAGAATAGCGGAGCCTCCCCACAAGGCCTGAAGTGAAATTAAAACAAACCATAAAGCAAAAAAGCAAAAAGAAAAGGAAACACACACAAGAGTTTTGAAAAAACTGAAAAGGAAATTTTAAAATAATAGACAAGCAAAAAGAAGAGAAATGAGAGAAACAAGAAAAGAAAAAAAGAAAAAAAGAAAAAAAAACACTGAAAACCCTGAAAACTTTGTGAATTGAAAATGGTCCTGAGAGGGCAAATACCATCAAGTATGCATCACCATTGCCCATCTGCCTTGGTGCCCTATGAAGAGAAAGGTTGAAGGAGTTGTGCTCACAGCATGGCCAAGTTGTTGTTTTGACAAATTTTACATAGTATACTATGGCAGTGCCTACAGAGGAGAGGAACTTACTTCCAGACCTCTTCAATCGGCAATCACCCCTCCATCCTCCCTTTCCACATACAGTTTCACCTTTGAGACGTGGAACATGTGGTGTTGCTTGAATGTTGACATGGGGACTGTGGGGCCTCTGGTCTTCTTTGTGATGATATGAGATGCCACAAAAGGGTTGTAGAGAGTGTTGCACTGATTTTTGAAATTGTAATAAGTGAACTCCTTTGTGTGTTTTGCGTATCCCCACAACTTGATGGCTGACTTCAATTCTTCCAACATCCCATATTCTACAAACTTGGTCAATTGTTGGTTGTCTAGCCTGATGGAGCTGTAATTGTTCAGGATTTGGATGTTCCTAACCCAAGTGATGTACGTCTTGAAGTCCTCATAAACTGACACCTGAAGGTGTTGGGCTTTCTCATAAAGTTGATCTTTCCAGTCATAAGGTAAACATAAGGCAAAGAGATGTGCTGTGAAACTGCACCAGCATCAAACCTCAAACAGAGGTTTTGGGTTTGAATTGGACAAACCACAAAACATATGCAATATGTATATCACTGTGTCCTTGTGGCAGTTGCCTGACCACAAGCACACACGGAGTGCCTTTGAGGCACAAAGGCAACTTGTGTGCGCTTGTCAACAAGCAAACACCACATGGAAACACCACACAGACATGGTGTATGTGTATATTCATTGAACTATAAATGCTTGCTTTTCCACTACCTGTTCCTCCATGATAGTTTAGATGAGTAGAGAGTGGAATGACTACATATATCACAATGGCTACTCAGGAAATATTTATGAAGCTGTTCAACAGTAGCAAAGAGGAATCTGGTCCCTAAGACCCACTTTCCCATCCAGGAACCTCTTTGATGCTGGCAGTGACTCTTATATTCAAAACCTCTTAACCACCTCTATATCAAAGACAACTTTTCAAACAAAAGATAACCCACAAAGCATTTTAAAAAAAACTTCCAATTCTACAAGTGACAATTCTTGATAAAGAAAAGAAGGCTATTTACAGAATATATACAGCTAATTCAATTCAACACAAAAACAGAAATCGATATGAAACAAGATTTTTTTTGGTTAAAAAAAAGAAACTACCCAAAAGAGATTCATGCATTTGCAAAACAAAATAAAATGAAATGATGATGATCAAATTGAAACAAAAAAAAATCTTTCAATCCATTGATGTTTTTGGAAAAAAATCAAACCACACGTTCAATAGTATTAAAGTACCTATATCCTCAACAAAAAACCCAAACCCAAACCAAAAGTAAGTTTTACAAAACCTTAAACCAAAATCAAAACGAAACCAAAAAAAAACACAGAAAACCAAGAACCCAAAAACTTGACTCACATATAACGAGATAAGATCATATATAAATGTCTATCCCAAACCATTTGAGATCTATGTTTCCAAAACGAGTTTCTAGTTTTAAAATAATCCCATAAACTATTGATCAACAAACCATTCTCAGTACTTAGAGTGATAGACTTTCTTCTTTTTTCAGAATCAATAGAATTCAATTCAGTTTTCGAATCATAACCTGGTACTAAATCTAATGTGATTTGTGAATTAGGTCCAAAGATCAAATTAGGTAAAAACCTTAATAAGCTAAATGGTAAATCATATAATCCTGAATATTTTCGTAATACAAACACCGATTTTAATGTATATAGACTTGGAGCAGGTTTGAGATGTTTAGATGAGGTGGTAATGGATCTTGTTGCATTTAGAGAAAGTGAAAGTTGAGTGACTGCTGCTGATACTGCTCGATGATTGATGTGTCCACTAATCCCTTGATCATCAAAGGTCACAATCTAGACAAAATGAATTGGAATCGGATCAGTATCCAAGTATCAGTATGAAAGGATCGAGTTGGATTGAATTAAATCGCATTACACTATCAATCATCCATTTATCGAGATAATCTTTAACTACTTTAGAGATCGTTTCAGTTGGCCACCATTTCACAGGATCATCCTGAACGGAACTGTCAAGACCAGATCGAACAAAAATAAAGAAGAAACCAATGAGTATGATGTGTAGAAATGAAGAATGATGTTTCAAAAGATGAAGATCCATCAAACTAACGAAATATCCATCACATCACACCTTTCTTCACGTATACCTAATTCTGTACAACTAGCTTTCAATTCGATCCTTCTAATCTCACCTAAACCATAATGATTACCTGAACTTAAAACTAAAAGTGCACCATGAGTTTTAGTTTTTTTTAGGATTGAAATTATAGTTGGACCAAAAAATAAACATTCATCATCTGGATGTGCTACGATGATTAAGGTGGATTTTGAATTTCTTAGAGAGATTGGAAAGAGTGATGGATGATCTGATAAGATTGAAGTGACTAAAAAGGCGACAAAACAAAAAACAGTCAAAGATTAACTTGTTGGTTTTTTTCCTCCTGGGATCAAAACATCAGAACGAAAATTGATGATGATGATAGATTTGTTTGTTGGGACGACTTACCTATCCACCAAAACATTGGCCAAACAATCCAAAAACAAATCAAAAGATTTAATTTAAATCGAATACCTCTAAAAGCTAACAAAGATCTAAAAGAAAGCTTAGTATTTTGTTTCAAAAAATCAAACCATTCAAAAAAGATTTCAAAAGAAAGACCTTAGATTTCCAAAAAGCCAAAAAAAAAAACTTTAAACTCACATTGGATTAAAATTGAAGCCAGAACGATTACGATTTAAAGAATTCGAACTAAACGCTCTACTCGGATTAGAAGGAGGAGGATAAAGATCTAATCTAGATAACTCTTGACGCCAGTTTTCTTCTTCTGCTTCAGCTTCTGCAATCACATCTTCACGATCACCATAAGTTTTATTAATTTGATAATTTGGAATCGGTGTATCTTCAAATAATGGACTTAGAGGTGGTGAAGGTGTTGGTTTGGGTTTGGGTTTGGATGTCATTTTCTTTTGGTTTTTGAGTTCGGTTTGAATTTGAATGGAAATGTATGATTTGAAGATATGAAGAGTTGAGTGACTTGATGAATTGGTCTTGTTTCTTTTGAACTTTTGACACGAACACTGGTCAAGAACTCGACCCCGATCTTAACCTAACAGAACCCGGGTATAAACCGGTACACCTCTATCCGATTCCCATCAAGACTCTCTCTTCAATTTTTGCATTGGTGTTTCGAGAACAATTGACTTTTTTGTGCCAGAGCAGCGTGGAATTGAGCAGATATGTGACCGAGCAAACCGATCTCGTCCCACTCGATATCAGTGCGCGAAGACGAAACAAGCAGGAAAAGACCCTAATTATCAGTTATGTGCGTGTCAATTATCCACCAAAGCTCTATGGATCAGAGATATCCTGAATTCAGGATGTCAATATGAGAAAATTGATGGGAGAAAGTGGATCAGACTGATCGCTATTGGATGAGCGCAATAAGAAAGCGGGAAAAAGATGCTTCATTATAGGTCTTAAAAGATCCAGATCCATAATTATTGAATGTGATTTTGTCAGTGAAGTCTAAGAGACTATTTAAAAATCGCCAGGAATGGTTTGATTGATTGAGCGCCAACGGATTTGGATAGGTATATCATACCACAGCTTTGGATCTGAGAGTGATTGAGAGCCATCCTTTCACACCCTCAGACCTCCCGCTCAAACGATCCTAAAGCTTTCTTGTTCTTTCCTTGGCTTTAATCTTCTCTTTGACCAGATCTCCATTCAACGTATATAATCCTCTATGTACTATCCTTACCTTTCTTCCTCCATTCATCTCATCATCCAATATCCACTTGTTACCAACTATACCTGATCTTCATCAAATCATCGTCATCCAAATCTCAAACATGGTTTCATTCTACAACCTATTCTTCCTTACTATCTTCGTCTTTACTATCTCCACTACTAAGGCTCTTAGCTTACCAGGTTTAGATCTCAGCGGTCTTCCTAAGTGTGCTCAAGGATGTGTGATCAAAGCAGCATTAGGTACTATTAGAAACTGTAACTTAGTAAGTCTTCCTTGAAACCTTTTTCTTCATAATGAATGTCGTCATTTTTTCAAAAAAAGTTTACTGATAAACGTTTCTTCGGTCAATTAGCTTGATATTAATTGTCATTGTCAGGATGATAGTTATCTTCGAATCAGTGCTAGATGTATTATCACTTCTTGCTCTGTTGATGATGCAGTTAATGCAGAGATGTGGGCCCACCACGTGAGCAGTTTATATTTTTGTTTGTAGCTCATGCTCTTATTAAGCTTATGGGATTTGATACCTGTTAGACTTGTTGAAGAGTTTTTGCATTACTATTGGATGTGCAAATCTTCATATCTCTACGTCTCCGTCTTTGTAAGTTCTTTCTTCTCACTTCTTCAAATCATGACTTGACTGACAATGTTTGATTTTCTCATACCAAAATCTTCTTAAAAACATATACCAGACCATTTTTGTTACACGTCTTTTTTGATCATTATGGCTCTGAGACTCAGCTATTGGACTTTATTTATTTGTTTCCTACAATCTCTTACGCATGTGTCTATGCAAATACATCATCATCATCATTTAACTAATTTCATCAAATCTTTGAGCTCGGATTTCAGTGAGACAAATTTGAAAAGCACGCTTTGAAAAACTCTCTATGAGTTAATCACATCAGTATATACCCAAATTATCAGCAAGAAAAGATCCCAAATTCCTTCCAAAAGTGTTGTTGAAGATGTGGGATATGTTGATTGGTATTCTTCTTTTTTCATTAAGATCAAAGGTTTTCAGGAAACCAATATGATTGTGTTGAACTTAAAGTTACATCCAGGAAGTAAACAAATCCAAAACCATGTTTGAGATAAAAAAAAGCCACATAATAGCCCAGTAGACAACCAAAGGAGGGTCATTATATTCTGCTCAATTCAAGCATTAACCTTTTTGGCTAAAGGTAGAATACAAAGCGATTTGAGCCAAACGTCTATCCCGGAAAATCATCTACAGTCGTTTTCAAAAAGCTTGCCGAAATTTGCCCGCAAAACTCGAGCAATTTGGCGGTGAATTAGCGGCAAGCTTTTTGAAAACGACTATACAATTGAGCAAGAATCATATTTGGTGAAATGATTACCGATTTGGATAATCAAGATGTCGGTTTTGAGGAATGTTCAATCAAGACAAATAAACCCAAAGACTAAAGTCTATAAGATTATCATAAAATAAGTTAGAATTTAAACTGCTTCAAGTTTTAGCCATTGATTTTGATTTATTCCATTCCAATACCAAGGCTTTTTTGTGGATGAATGCCATTAATTAAGCAGGATTTGCTTTAACTTTTTGATCAAAGTGTCACAACATGATGATGCTAGCGACAGGACCAAAGTTCAGTTAATTTATGCATTGAGGTAAAGATCACATAGTATGATAACCCAGAAAAGCAGCATAGCCAAAATTGTCTTCATATGGAAGAATGAGAAATTTCTTGACGAGTGCCAGTGTGCCAGTGTGCCAGCATTGAAGTGTGTGTTGCCCGTCGATCCCGGGATTGTCCCGACCAAGGTTCGGCTGGGGTCACCCCGAGATTTTCAATCGCGTTGCAAGAATCGCGTCTCTCTCTCTGCTGCCTCAAGCTGACCCTCAAGCCTGCCCTCAACCAGTTCGATCCAATAATTTTATCAAAACAAAGAAATAGTAAAGTGGAATGAAACCAGTTCACCAAAAGACATCCAACTTGAAGATTGTATGAAACGGATCATCCATCAAATCAAACCATTTTATAAAAACCAAAACTACAACCAATCAATTTATCAATCTATCATCATCATCATGTCAGCACCCAATCGAAAAAAACAAATCACATTAAATCAATTCTTAGGAGTTTCTACTTCTATTAAACCTATCACTACTCAATCTAATATAGATCAATTATTTTCAAAAACAAAAAAACAAAAACCAAATGAAGAAAAACAGACAACTTCAACTTCAAATCAACTTAAAAGATCATGTTCATCAGAAGAAATCAATCAAAACGGTTCATCAAATGTCAAAAAAGTTAAAACTAATCTAGATTTCACCCCATCTTTGGTCGAATCAAAACTTATTAACCAAACTAATCATTCACTTCGGATTGAAAAACATTCAACAAATCAAGATCAACTAGGTTAGCTCCTTTTTTAAACAAAAACAGCCATATGAAGAGTACATAGATATATGTAGATTTATTGCTAATTTAAATCAGAAGATCTCTTTAGATTCCAAGGATCATGATCAACTTACTAAAACTGATGATCAAGACCAAATCAGTGAGTCATTCTTTTACTTTTACTTTCCTGCTTATTGACTTATTTAAAATGAATCCCAATTATGCAGCTAAAACAAACAAAGAACAAGACGTATCAACTAAAGTGACAGAAAAGGAAGAGGACGAAGAAGAGGACGACGACGAAGAAGAAGAAGAAGAGACAGGAGAGTTAGTAGATATCATCAATGAAGATGATTCTGATGATAAGACATCATGGGTTAAAGGAACGCCGTAAGTTGAGCTCTATAGAACTTTTCCTTGAAATTCAAAGCTAATCGAATTATGAATGATAGAATCCCATATTCTAGTTTGGTTCATACCTTTACGTTGATCGACGGGACTACCAAACGACTAGAAATTACTAAATATCTAAGTCAATACCTTATGAAAGTCATCAACCGAACTCCCAATGAACTAATCAAAATCATTTACCTATGTATCAACCGAGTTGAGTGTTTCAGATCCTCTTCTTGATCAAAGTTAACCTCATCTAACTTTCCAAACTTTGATCTTTTGTGACAGTTGTGTCCTGATTATGAAGGTATCGAACTTGGAATTGGTGAATCGATCTTGATCAAAGCTATTGGATCTTCAATGGGTAGAACACCTACTCAAGTTAAAGCTGATTTTAAAAAAGTGGGAGATTTAGGACTAGTAGCTCAAAACAGTCGATCTACTCAAAAAACAATGTTTAAACCAAAGCTCTTGACTGTTAATAGTGTATATCAAGATCTAAAGACAATAGCTACCACTTCGGGACATTCAGTTTGTTCATTTCTTTCGTTTCATTGGTAGATTTTTCTGAATACAGATCTGATGTTGTTGTTGTTTTGTCTCACTTTTTTTCAAAGTCTCAAGCTAAGAAAGTGGGAATTATTACTAAAATGTTAGCGGCTTGTGAAGGCGAAGAAGCTAAATATATTATTAGATCACTTGAAGGAAAACTTAGGATCGGTTTAGCTGAACGAACAGTCTTAGTGGCTTTAGCTACTGCAGTGGTGACTACAGGTGTTGGTAAGTTGCTCCCCGATTTGAAATTCTTTTTTTCAAATCAACCCATCCAAACTGATCTTTTTGAATTTTGAACTAATTCAACTAGGTACTTCAAACCCAACCAAACGTAAATCCAAAGAAACTTTATCAACCGAAATTCTAGAAGGCACCAATTTAGTCAAATCAGTTTATTCAGAAATCCCATCTTATGATTTAGTGATTCCTGCTTTATTGAAAGGAGGAATCCAAGGATTAAGAGAGAATTGTAAATTAACACCGGGTGTACCTTTAAAACCTATGTTAGCTAAACCTACTAAATCGATTTCAGAAGTCTTGGATCGCTTCGAAGGTCAATCGTTTACTTGTGAATATAAATATGATGGGGAAAGAGCTCAGGTGAGTGAACTTATCTTGCTTTCTTTGGTTTGGATGGATAGCTGAGACCGAAGTGGATTAAATCATCATCTTTTCTTATTTTTTGGTGGTTTGAATAGATTCATTATTTAGAAGATGGAACGATTAGTATCTTTAGTAGGAATTCTGAAAACATGAGTGAAAAGTATCCAGATATGTTAGATCAAATGAAAAAATCGATCAAGACAGATATCACGAAATCATTTGTATTAGATTCAGAAGTAGTAGCATGGGATCCGATTTGTAAAAAGATCTTACCGTTTCAAGAATTAAGTAAACGGAAACGAAAAGATGTGAAAAGGTCAGAAATCGATATTAAGATTAAAATCTTTGGATTTGATTTACTTTATTTAAATGATGAAGCCTTAATCAAACAAGATTTAAAGTATCGTCGAATGAAGTTAAAAGAACATTTTAATGAGATTGAAGATGAATTTAATTTAGCTAAAAGTTTAGATAGTGATAAAGTTGAAGAGATTCAAGTGTTTTTAGATGAAAGTATTAAGGCTTCTTGTGAAGGTTTGATGGTGAAAATGTTAAATGGTGAAAATGCTTATTATGAACCAAGTAGAAGGAGTATGAATTGGCTTAAAGTAAGTTTCCTAAAAGAAAACAAACTTCACACTCTTAAAGTTTTCTGTAGATTGTATTCTTCAAATTCAAATCTTTAATTTTTTCTTTTTTTTCTTCAGGTCAAAAAAGATTATTTAGCAGGTTTAGGAGATTCATTAGATTTAGTAGTCATCGGAGCTTATTTTGGAAAAGGAAAACGAACAAACGTATACGGAGCGTTCTTACTAGGAATCTATGATCAAAGTACTGAATCATATCAATCGATTTGTAAGATCGGAACCGGATTCACAGATGAAGTTTTAGAATCACATTATCAAAAGTTAAAGCCATTAGAGCTTTTACAAAAAAAATCTTATTATGATACAGGTGATGTGAAACCGGATGTTTGGATTGAGAATCGGATCGTTTGGGAAGTTTTGGCGGCTGATTTGAGTTTGAGTCCGATTTATAGTGCTGCTAGAGGTTTAGTAAGTCTTCTTCTTTCTTTCTTTCTTTCTTTCTTTTTTGATTTGATTTTAAGATGATTTGATTTTTTGGGGCGGGGGTTTGTAGTGTGGTGATGGTACAAGAGGGATTTCATTAAGATTTCCTAGATATATTAGAGAAAGAGATGATAAAGGACCTGAAGATGGAACTGGACCTGATCAAGTTGAGTGATGGATTTGAATTTTTAAATCAATTTGATCATACAGTCTGTAGAAAGAGAAAAGATGATGAAGAATGTTGATGGTCTAAGATTTTCTGTTTCTGTTTCTGTTTTTTTTTCGTTTAGGTGGCTGAAATGTATGAAAGACAAGTTTGTACACAAACACAAGGAAGTAAAGGGAAATTAAAGAAAAAAGAAGGTGAAGATGATGATTTTTGGTGATGGATCAAAGGTTTTTTTTTTGATATATATACATTATCCGATTATGTTTGTAAATAATTTTGAAAAGTTGAGTTTTTTTAAAGGGGTTTATGTGGTAATTGAATGTAAATTGCTTGGATTTGATTTTTGATATGAAGGTTTAATAAATTTGAAGCTTTTGATGAGAAGATTTGATAGAAGGCTTCGAAAAGGGATTTGATGAAGAATCCTCCATCGTCCGCAATGATTAGTAGCAGATAAAATTAGATCTAATGAGATTACCAAACGAAGGAGTTCTGAACCCTTTTCACATCAACAAATGTTAAAAGGATTCCGGTTCTATAGGTCAAACCTGTTTAGACGCAGTAGTTATTGGTGGTGACTTAACATTTTTTCATCAAGTTGATGCACGAGTCTTTTTAACAGTTTGGGATTTAAGCCCTTCCAAGGAGTCAGTCTCATAGTATACCAACTTGGCAAACTCTCTTTGAAGAATGTTAGGTTGAGTTTGTTTTCTCCAACTCGCCATCTCTGTTATTTATCATTAAGCTTCCTTACACTCTTTTGATGGTTTCAAGACCCAAGCATCTTAATATTCGTAGTATCAACCACCAGTTAAGATCGAGGGTTCTGATGTTATGTTGCTCAAGAGCTCTCTTCAAAGAAAATTCCACTTCCATGGTCTCCCGTCTGGTTCGGATTTTAACGACGGTAGTCCATGTGTTTTTTTTGGCAAGCTCAATATTTTGTATCGCCGATCGTTAACTCTCGAAAGTCTGAATCCAGTCTCGTCATCGCCACCCATCGAGTCCTGACTCCCTACCTTCAAGCAACATTGAACTTTGATGATAAAGACCTCACAGGACCTCACGTAAAAAAAGAAATTCTTCAAGTAAGCATTTGATTCCAGCTGGTCAAGAATACGTACATAGCACGGTATCTTTTTAAATGGAGTCGGTAAAATGTTCCGGTTGTTAAGAAACCTAACCGGCCGGGTTTCAGTGACGGTTTTTACGTGAATAGTTGTCCAGATCTTCAAATGTCAAATTTACGTCTTTAGCTAGTTTTATCAACTCGGTTGTCATCATGATGATATCGTGCGCGTTGCAAACCGGTCCTTGAAACTGTCTCAGCAGGAAGAACGTGTGTTTGTAGAAATGTAAGCCCAAAAGAAGGTGGTATAAACACTCAGCCTTTAAATGAAATTGATTCACAAACCTTCAGTTTAAGATTCTCTCACCATACCACATGACTTGATACGAATCAACAAATCCACTTGACATCAATAATTACTTTTCATTTTAATTTACAACTTTTCAAGCTGGACACTGGAGAGTTTATCATTTACATAGTTACAAACCAGCTTAAACTTTTTCTTCTTCTTTTTCTTCTTCTTTTTCTTTTACACTTAGAAAGTACTTACATTTGAAATCCAATGGTCAGTCGTCCAATTAGACCACGTAATTCGATTTGTTTTTGTTTATACTTTCTTACTTATCAATTACAATTCTTTTGAAGCTGATGTCGAGAATATTTGCCCCCTTTTTCCCCCCCAAAAAATGGAACAGTGACAGATTTAAGTGACCAACGTTGTAACAGAGATCCACTTCCACGAATCCTATCAAACAGCTCAGAAATTCCTTCGCAAAGTCATATACGCATACTAGATCAAGCTATGGAAAGAAATTATCATCATAATGAAGCAAGCCATGCTGGACGTTCTAGTAAAAGAATTAAAACAGATTCAATAGATAATCAGAAAAGAGAAATTGAAGGAGTTTATCATCATAGGAAAAGTGTTGTAGTAGGAGAAAAAGAACAAGAAGAAGAAGATGATAATTATCATCATTCTTCTTCTTCTAGAAATAAATCTTTTGAACAATTTCATCAATCTGGTAGTGCTAGTGGTAGTACTAGTCAACATCATCTAATTGAAACCCCTCGTTCTCAGGTAGAACGTAATTCAGAATTTAATATCATTGCTAGTAAATTTAATATCAATTCATCAGATTTACAAAACCTATTACAAATCTTTCAAGTAAGTTTTTCTTTTTGATTTTCCTTTGATTTTTTCGAGCTACTTCAACTCTAATCTTTGTTGTTTTGTTATTTTGTTTGGTAAGGAATCGATTCCAGAAACACGTCAATTTGCAATCACTTGTATGTTGATTAGTAAATTTCAAGATTTAGAACGTTTGATTATACCCAATCATACTGGAGTAACATTAAATCTTGGAAAAGGATCAAATTGGAAAGGAGCTGATCCAGTAAGAGTAAGTGAATTGAAATTATATATATATATATGTCCTATAAAACGATTTTCATTGAGTTGATTGTTTTCTATATGATTTTAGTCACTTATTAGAGAAAAATTAAGAAAGTTTTTATTAGAATCTGAAACTCAAGCTTATAGTACGAATGAAACAGTTGATCATAACCCGATCAATGGATCATTAGAGCATCGAATGATTGTGAGCAAATCTCAAACCTTTCCTTTCAATTAAATCAAATCACAAACCAAATCACTTACATGTAGTGATTTGATTTGATTCTTAGGATTCACTTCATTCAGAATCTAAAGAATTTCAAGAATCAAACTTACCACCTGGATTTCAAACTTTTAAAGTTGATGCAGAGTTATCAGTCATGAAAGTGATTAAAGAAATCGCAAAAGCAGAAAGATGTAAATTTCAAAGTAGAGTAAGTATATTTAATTCCTCATGACTTTCATTTGATTCCTTATTCTTGATATATCTATTACTCATTAATTTTCTCTTTTTGACAATTTTGTTTAAGATTCTTTCTCAAATTAAAAATCCTACTCAAGATCAACCTGTACCTGATCTAAGATCATTAGTTGCATTAGTAAGCGTTTCATCATTTTCTTTTCTCTATCTTGTTCATCATATTAAATTTTTAATTTTTCACAGATAATACGATCCAATAGTAGAAGTGAACGTCGTTCAAATGATGAAATATGGAATGATACTCCATCTGATGATAAAATGAGATATGCACATTTGGTTGGTCAATTCCTTATGAAATCTCAAAACATACTTTGAAGTTCTTGGTTAATGATTTGGTATCCGATTTACAGAGACTTGAAGGTGCTATCTTTCATATTGGTGATGCAAAAGATGTGACCTTGATCAAAAGTAAAATCGAACGTGAAAGATCAATGTGGGATCCAGTTGATGATAGATTAGCATGGATTAGGTCCTTAAATGAAACTGAAAGAAACATGTGAGATTTTTTTACAATACTCACTTTTTCTCTCCTCATAAAATCATCTCTAATTCTTTCAACTTCTTTCTTGCTTTTTTGTCTTCAAGTTTTGAAAAATTAATCATTCATTTAGATCAACTCATCTTTAATGGATCTCGTACATTTGATACAATCAAACGTCAACATACCATTCATTTACCATCTCCTATCGAATTTCAAACTTCTTTAAATGATCATCATTTTGATTACTTAAATTCAGTTCAAACTGATCTTTCTTGATTTTTTCTTCTTTCTTCAAAAAAACTCTTGTCTTTTCTTTCTTACTCTCTTTCTTTTGAGGGGGGGAGGCAGAGAATTCAAACTTAATCACACATCTTTGTAAATTTGTATATGAATATTTTTCTTTTTGGATATGGACTTTTTTGATTGATTGATGGACTCTTCAACATAATGATGATCTTAATTGAAAGAAGAAGGAAAAAATTCAAGAGTTAGGGGGTTTCCTTTTGCTCAGAATAATCCTTGTTTTGTTTTTTCCCCTTTTTTTGAATATCAACAGTTATGATCATGAACTTTACATAATTGCATTTGATTAAAAAACAAGAAACTCAATTTTCAAAGATATGCAGTGCTACAAATGGTACTTGAGGGTTTGATTTGAAAGATCTTATATTGCAAATGCAATTCTGGCATCACTTGAATGGTGCCTACCCTGATTTCTTGTTGTTGTTTGTGGAATGGCAAATTATGGGTTTAGACAGATTTAAAAGAGAATGTGAATGCTACACGTACCCAAAGGCACAATGGTTTGTATAAAGTTCCACGGTCATTGGGGATGAACAGCCTTGAGGATCAAACCCAACAAGATCCTTGGGTTTTACAACATACAGAGTCCTAACTCCATAAAGGCGCAGACATTGTGAAAAAGTTTGTCACAAATTCCATATCCATCCCCAATATGACTCAAGACAAAATGTATGCTAGACTTTCCATAACAAATTCTTGTTTGAAAGCAAATATAAATAAACCAATGCCAATAAACAATGTAGAAAAAAACACTACCCACTCCTCCTTTGTGTGATGGAGGATTTTATGGGTTTATTTGTAGCATTTGCTTCAAATACCTTGGGTGTGACTGTGTCACGAACCTGTCACATGGCAACTGGTAGAACCCCCAAGCTTCTCCCCTTACATCTAGTCAGTGCAGAGCACATGTGAGGGGTCAGCAACTTTCTGGCTGAATCATCACCAGAAAGGTGAGGTGTGGGTAGAGTGAGGTTAATAGCACCAACCCTGGGCCAGCAACACAGGTGTTGCGTGCTGCACTGCGGTTTCTCTGACCACACCGCAACTTAGAATCAAATTCTAGGTTGCAGCCTGACCCGCCGTGCAACAAGATCTGTTGAATCAATGTTTTTTTGGGCCACAACAACATTTGTTGTGTTGCTGCCCAAAAAAATTACAATTTGATGTTTCTTTTTGGCACTGTTGCGCCTGTTGCGTTGCGCAATGGTCAAGGTGCCGCACAACCTGACCTCACCTTTTTTTGTTGTGGTACTTACCGCAACGCAGCACCTAATGCTGGTTTTTGTTGCATGTTGCGGAGCAACGCACCAAAAAACACCCGTGTTGCAGTGTGGTGCGTTGCTGGCACAGGGTTGATAGCATGGTCTTCATCTGTCACACTCAAGTGAATACTTGAGTTATTTCTAAAGAGAGGATTTAGTGCCAGTGGGAAGAGTGAGAAATCCTTCAAAGTAACTTACTCAAAGCTCTGATTATAACAGAGCCTGCATAACTTTGTACTCTGATTCCTCAAAGGCTACCCTGGATACTTTACACTCCCTCTGGAAGACTTATCTTATGCAAATATGAAGCTTGGTTATATAGCCAATTATTTCCACTGGCTTAGAATCACCACTTTGAAGCTTACAAGGGCTCAAAGAGGGTTGTGGAACTATAAAATCAAATACAATAGTACCACTTTACTCAATATTCTTGGTAAGAATCAAGTGACTTGTGATGTGGAATTCTGAAATGATGTGAAGTTGGTTCTTTTTCCGGGGTTGGAACAAAGGGGCTTATATATCCATGACCTAGGCTTCAACTTATGGTTGGTGCTTAGGTTTAATTTTACTATTTAGGTCATAGTTAAGTCTTGTTGCATACAGCTGTTCCAACAAAGATTGATTTTTTTGAAAATCTCGCCAATGTGCAAAACCCGGGTTTTGTCCCTCACTTGATTTTGTCTCTCCGCTAATTGGAAGAATACAGGAAATAATAAACCTGTAATCAAGTTTTGTCTTTGGTTTTAGCCGCTGCAGAGACAACTTTCTCCAAAAAACAGTTGTCAACCTTTCTTGGAACGGCTGTAAGTGATTCTTCATACTGCACCATGAGATGTAATTCTTATGGTTTTAAACAAGTTACAGCCATTCCAACAATTAACGGTAGAATTCTTCATCGGCGTGTTGCATCCAAATTTAATCCAAAAGTCAAAAACTAGTTAAAGCCTGCTCAAAGTGACAGGTCTCCCAGGCCTCCTTCTTCATTCGCGTGCAAAACTGGGTTTAATCCAGTTTTGCCCTCTCTAGATTTAACCTCAAGAGCAACACACGATCAAAGAATTTTGCTGTTAATTGTTGGAATGGCTGTACATATATTTACATATGTGTTACATATATTTGCATGTATGATTGAATTTGTTAGTCCGGGTTCCTGTGCACAGGGCTCAGGGCTGACAGTGTGTGGGGTAGTGGCAAAGCTTACTACCCACCCCAAGTTGGCTGGTTCTCACCAGTTGGTTGATGGGTGGTTCTTCCAATCTCTCTCCTCTGTCAGGGTTGGTGGGATGGACATTAAAAACTCTAACTGTGACGAGCGAGAGGGAGAGAAAACATGAATGAGCTTGAGATTGGTGAATAAGCTGTAGTGGCCATACAGGATTGTTTTTCCTTATTCTGAGTTTCCTTCTTTGGAAATCCACTCCCACCCTTGAGTCCCTTAGACCCTAAGGGCCCGTTTGGTTGTTGTCAACTTTGCAGGTTGACCCAGCCAAAAGTTCAGGTGTACGCTTCAAGGCAGTTTGAAGAGTACACCTGAGTGTTGAGGCGTTTGGTACACCCTTTTGGAAAAAGGGTGAAGCATATTCCCGGAAGGTCTACCAGCCAAAACGGTCAATCTGCCAGGTTGACTGTTTTGCTTCTGGCAGGTTGGCCTGCCTAGTGCCATGAGAAGACCTTGCTTTGGTCAAGTTCCACAATCATTGATTTCAATGCTGGAGTGAACAACATCAAATTTTTCATGAGATTGTAGTTAGATGCAATAAAATTTTGTACATACAGTCACAAATCTGATCCCTTGTCCTCAGCATGCCTTCAAAAAAGAAAGAAGATGTCATATAAGAATGAAGACATTCATACTCCCAAAGTCACGGCAAAGTGGACCAATGAGGATGTGTCAAAAATGGTCAATTTCCTCTTGAAAGAGAAGGAAGCTGGGAAGATGTCTGACTCGGGCTGGAAGAACAAAACATAGAATCACTGCGCAGAGGCACTCAAAGGAACCGAGCGAGTTGGCACCCTTCAAAAAACATGGCTCCAGTGCCAGAACAAGTTTACAAAGGTAATGATCATCTGATCTGGATTTTATCTCACCATGCTGGATCACATAGATCTGACTTCAGTGGTTCTTTCTTGTTGAAATTCTTTTTGAAGTTGAAGGGAGAATTTAGAGACGTGAGGGAACTCAGCAAGAAGAGTGGAATGGGCTGGTGCCATGTTGAGCAGACGTTGCAAATCTCAGAAGACGTGTGGAAGCGACTCGTTGAAAAAGAACCTATGCGAGCAAAATGGGCAACCACACCCTTTCCACTCTTTGATAAGATGGAAGCTCTTGTTGGCAAGGTACTTGCATCAGCCGAAGACACATTTGATCCGACTCAACCTACACCAGCTACAGTAAATGAATCTTTGGAGCAAGAGCCACTCCCATCATCAGATTACGATGTAGCATACCAACAATATGAAAGTGGTGAGGACAAAGAGGAATTCCTGGTGTGTATGGTCTTGAGGAACTATTGTGTATAATTTTCAAGTAGACTCATTATTCAATTTTGCTGTTCATAGCCAGATCAACTCCAAGATAGCCTTGTCAAGCTCCTTTTGCGCTCCTTCTTCTTACCCAGACTTGCAACCTCAACTGGCACACTCAGATTTGGAGATCACCTTGCGCAAGCGTAAGCAAGATTGTGTAAAGATGATATGTCTTCATCTTCCAAACCTAAAAACTCTCAACACCGCCAAGGAAATAACAGAGCTGCCGCACTCGAACTTTTTGGCAACAAGATTCTCATGGGCCTCAAATCAACTGTAGAAGAATCTCGGTCAAAAGTTGACCAAGCAATTGCAAAGATAGAGGCAAGTGTTGAGCTGAGTCCCTTAGTTCAAGCAAGGATCATAGCCATGTTTGGTCAACATCCAGAGATGGCTGGAGTTTATATGGCAATCAGTAATCCTGCACTTGCTCAAAATGTTTTGTCAGAGATGCTTGATCAGAATGTTGGAAGTTGAGACTACAAATAGTGTTGTGTTTTCTGTACAAGTGTTGATTTGATATGTTGCTTTATTTGTTGCTATGTTTGATCTCATTTGATATGTTTCTATCTTCTCATGCTGCTCTCCATTCTTGTCTTGTGCTGTTTTCATTTCAACTCTTAGCTGCGTATGTGTTACTTTTTCTCTTTATAAGCCATCTATGAGTCAAGGGTTTGATTCTCATCAATTTCAAACCCTCTTCACTTCACTACCTGCAATACTCTTACTTACGACATTTTGATTGCATTGTGAATGACTCATAGGTAAGCCATTAGTGTATTCATGTTTTTCTCTCTCTCTCTTTCTCATTTATACTACTTCATGCATGTACAAATATGTTTTGTGGACTTGTTTTTTGTAATAAATGTTCTAATGATTGATTTCAAACCCTCTTCACTTCACTACCTGCAATACTCTGACTTACAACATTTTGATTGCATCGTGAATGACTCATACAGAACACATCAAAGAAATGAAAGCTTAAAATTTGATTGAATAAATCAAATCTTCACAGAATTGAAAGGAGAACTCAGACTCTTTTGTTGACATCATTTGAGATTTTCTAAGATTTCTTAAAATTCCATTTTTCATCCAATCATTTCTTCATTTTGAGAATTTATCTTTGGCCTGTTCTCCTGGCCTCAGCTTGCTTCTTCTTGTGATAGTCTGCCCACATCCTGCTTG